GGTATTGATGGTTGATATTTTTATCGCTTATACCGGATGCGGTATGGGAACGGCTGGTTAGTTCACAATGTTGAATATTAATTCATGTGTAGTTCCATCCTTATGGGCCCCTAGCGATCTTAGTAGGCAAATAAAAAGGAAAAATTGTTGTTATTACTCACTTGAAAGTAAGATTTGCATGTTATTTGAATTATTGTATCTCTATAGGTTGATTTTGAAAATTTCGCAATATTAAATATATGCAGCAAATGGTTTTTCCTTATGATAAATGAATTTACTTAAATCAAGAGTTTCATTAGTTGTTTTTATGATTTTTACCAATCTTCAGTTTCTGTGTCGGTGAGTAGTATGTATTTTTATTAGGATAGTGTTGCTCACCATTTCATTAACTATTTCAGATTAAGAGAACTAAAATCTAGATTATGATCAACAAGAGGATTGTGACTAAGTTCACTACCCGGACTCCCTTTTAAATGATAATGAAGGTCGTTCTAGAATATTCAGTTGTTAGTTTTTTATTTATTTCATTAATTTTTGAAATTTTTTTTAGAATGAATTTTTTCGTAATCCTATTGGAAATTCTAAATTATTGTGTAAAGAATGTAAACCCTAAACTCTATTATTTTTCTTTTGCGTTTAATTTATAATTTTATTTATTTTTAAGTTTCGAATCTTTACCGTCTAAATTATTATTAAAATAAATTTTACATATTAAAAAACTAAAATCAAGAAACAAAATAAATGTTTTTTGAAAAAATAGAATAATGATAAATTTTATGAATTTTAAGTTGTATATATATATATATTAGAAATTTACCAATTATTTTTATTTAAATTGTATTATATATTTTTTTATTATTTTTAAATCAAACTACCCAATTTTATTTTTTTAAAAAACAGATTATCCTTCTTAAAGAATTTAAAAATAAAAAATAAAAAATCCGATCAAATCCAATAAAAAAAGTATATTCCCGTTTTTTAGGTTGGTAAGTATCCTGATAAATCGGAAATAATAAAGGTGGCAGATGTTTTCAATAGATTTGCCTTTCCATGGCATCACAAATTCAAAACCTGTGGCAACCATTCTTCAACCCAATTTTGTTTTTCTTTGATTTCATTTTTAGAATACTTCCCTAAATTTGTTTCTCTTATATTCCTTTTAATCTTTTCTTCGTATCTTGTTTCCCTTTTCTTCGCCTTCTTCCCCAACCCGCGCTTTTGATCCTTTCACGTAAGTGTAGTTCATATCTGTATGCATATGTATATGTATATATGTGTACTTGCACGTGCACGTTTGTATTTTTTGGATATGATATGATTTATGGATTTAAATCTGATGTTCTGTTTCTTTTTCTCGGGGTTCAATCGGAAGTCGCCGAGTTGACACCCTCGAGTGGCGAGTTGGCGATGCCGACGTCGATGGGGAGTGAAGGCGAGTATGAGTCGTCTGAGCAATCGTCGCCGAAGAATAAGGTGAAATTCTTGTGCAGCCATGGCGGAAAAATCTTGCCCAGGCCTACCGATGGCAAACTCAAATACGTCGGAGGCGAGACTCGCGTCGTCGCCGTCTGTCGCGACATCTCTTTCTCCGGTAACTATTCTTTACTATATATCTTTAGGTGTAGGTTCAATACTGATATTCAATCACATTTTCTGCGCAATATGCATATATAATTGTTGTCAGATGCTTCAACATTAGGGTTGTGCTGACAGTTTGTGCTTCGTTGTTGAATTTCGCAACAGAACGATTGTTGAGAATTTATAGTGTAAACAATTGAAGTGGGATTGTGACATTAATAGGTGCATATCTTAACTTGTATGCGATTTTTCTCTTTGGCATCTTTACTTATAAGAGAAATACAGGAATTCAATGAAGCAGGACATTTTTGTTATATATGGTGAACCCTAGCTTTAGTTTGTTCATGCTTGAGTAAAAATTGTCTGTGTGTTAGAGGAGAAGCGTAGTGCTGGTTTTGGATTCCATAAGGTCAATACGGACCACCATACAACTCAATTTGAAAAAGCTTGCTTTGAATGTTCTACAGTCTAGTGTGAATTCAAATCTAGTTTGGACTTTTATTAGATTTTTGCATGATTCAACTTGTATGATGTAGAGTTTCAGTGTTATTATTTTCCATCAACTGGATATTATGTTAGATTTACTATATAGAATTATGTTAAGTGAAATTAATTTCTTCTTTTTCCCATCCCTGCCCATTTTGTTCTCAGAATTAATGAAGAAGCTTAGCACACTTTTTGATGGGGAAATGGTTCTCAAGTACCAGATTGTTCCTGAAGATCTTGATGCCTTGGTGTCTGTGAGATCCGATGAGGATCTAAAACACATGATGGATGAGTATGATCGCCATGAAAGTGAAGGAACACTGAAGCTCCGAGCCTTCTTGTTCCCTCCCAAACCAGTAATCCTGGAGAATCAAGTAGGCCCTATGGACCCTCAGTTAATAGAGCAACGGTACATTGATGCCATCAACGGTGTTGTTCGTGCAGCTGTGCACTCCAGGCTTCGACCCATCAATGCTATATACCCATCCTTGAGCATATCCTCCACTGGTTCCTCCCCAAAGTCAAACTCCCCAGATGCAGGAAATGTAGATTTAGCCCCAATTGAACCGGCCGTCATCAGTGGCACCTACCATGGCAGCCGTCTTTCCATGCATAGAGTCCATAGCTCCCCAACCCTTTGCAGCCTCAATGTGCTCCCTCCTCACACCAGCAGCATCGTGACTAGTCCCCATATTCATAACCAGCAGCATAATAATCACAATTACTATCAAAACCAGCACCCCAATTATAACTACCATCCTCCTCCTTACCCTTCTCCTCCTAGGGTACCTCAAGATTTCCTCAAAAGTGTTGTCACCGAGAGGCTATCCACATCTGGACGTGGTGAACTTGTGAGGGTCCCTACAACTATTGGCGTGAACCAGTACTACTCCCTAAGCAGAAACAATTCAGGAAGTGGAAGCAGCAGCAGATGTGGTTGTTGTGATGATTCTGCTGCTTATAACGGTTGTGGGTGGATTGACAGAGCAGATAGTGTTCCTCAGAGTCCTAGGAAGACCATGTGGTGAGGAAGAGAACGAACACAAGAAGAGCTAAACATGGCTTATTATTAAGTGCTTTATTTCTTTCTTTTGCTACGTCCTGTCATATTTGTGTATATATTTTTTTTGGGTTTTTGTATATGGTTGTGTTTTAGATGCCAGTTGTGCAAGTTGTGGGGTTTTTACATGCTAGACGTTATAGAAGAAGGCTTCTTTTTCTTTTGGCTCAAGGAAATTATAGAAGTTGATTTTCAAAGAGGAAATTAAGAACGACATGGGTTAGTGTCGTGTTGTTTCATTCGGACTTACACAGTTCTGCTCCCAGACTTTTTAATATGGCAGCTCAATCATTGGTCAATAGACTGATACAAATTGTATAGTTTTATTTTCAATTTCAATTAATATTTATCTAATTTATTATAGGAAATAGTCGGCTTCTTGAGAATGTCTCCAAAAAAAGAAGGAAATTCTGAAGTTTCTAGGATTTTTCATAATATGTAATTTAATATATACATATACATATACATCTCCAACTTGTCTTTTTCTTTAATTCTCATTTCACTTAGAAAGCAGTTAGGAACCACCAGCATGCTGAATGCCCCTTTCTACCTGGTTACAGCAGACTACTAGACTTCCCATTTCGATGGTTCTGGTGATGAAGAAAACTCTAGCATTGCTAGGACTAGAAATTCTAGCACCCCCCTAGGAATTTGCATTTGACGACAAGCACAATGTTTTCAGGAGGGGAGTAATGTTATATGCAATAATATTAGGAACGTATGATGTGTTGAGCGTGTACATATGTGCTAGGGAGATAAGGGCAAAGGTGGTAGTTAAATGTGGAAATAACTTTTAAGATAATTACTATTTTCTCTTTGTATAAATTCTTTTGAAGATTTTTAGACCCAAAAAAAATATATATATAAATATTTTTTTATTCAAGAGATTATTGAGTTATTTTTTAACAAACTTTTACTATTAATAAAAATAAAAAATAATTTGATTCTCTTTTAATAATACATATTATCAATAATCTTATAATAATTTATTATCGGAGTCAATTGTTACGGAGGAATTACATTTTATTTTTAAAAAATTTTGTAAACTTATCAAGAAGATAACGACAATATCCATTAATATTGAAATTTTTAGTAGAAATGTTAGAGAAATTATTGGTCAAAAATTGACTCGAAGGAGTTCAACATAATTGAATCCGCGACATTTGTTGAGACGAATATATTTTTTATTGAATACTAAAATCTTATATATATATATATATATATATATAAAATCTTTTTTTCTAAATAAAAATAATAATAATAATTAATTACATGAAGAGTATTTTACCTAAATGATATTTAAGCTTTTTGCTTTTATCTTGAGAATACATTTGTTCTCCAATGACTTTACATTTGGTTTTTATTTAATATAATTCTACTTTTTTTTTTCCAACATTATCATTAATCTCTAGCAGGATGTGACAGGGTATCCTATATAGTTTTAGCTTCAACATACATAGTTACTGACATTTTATTTCAATATTGAAATGTTGAAGAGGTACTAATTTTTTTGTATTTTAAAATATAAATTTATTATTACAATAATTGCTATTATTGTATCACCGGCCCGGTTGATCCAGCCCAACTCAGTAATTTCGCCTCATTCTTTTCTTTACTGAAACGGTGCCGTTTGATGAGACTTTATCTTTTTTGTTCCCCTCCTCCAACGGCGAAGAAGATAGAAACGCCTGCGAAGCCTCTTCCTCTTCATAAAACGGGAACAGGGCAGGGCGGTAGTGCAACGGTAAAAATTTTCAAGTTTGCACTTCTCCTTCTTCTTCAATCTTCTTCACTGAAAATCTTTCTTTCCAGAGTATTTTTTTTCTGCTTTCTTCTCCTCTCGGTTTCCTTCTTCCCCAAACGAGAGGAGCCTGTTGCGATCGTTACAGAAAATCCACCCATTCATTACGCGATCTCGTTTTCGCGCTGGAACCTGTCTTTTTTTTTTTCGGCTTTCTTCCCCAAACGAGAGGAGCCTGTTACAATTCCATAGGCAGAAAATCCAACCATTCATTACCCGATCTCGTTTTCGGGCTGGAACCTGTCTTTTTTTTTTTCTCTCTGCTTTCTTCCCCATAAGAGAGGAACCTGTTACGATTCCGTTACAGAAAATCCACCCATTCATTACGCGATCTCGTTTTGGGAGTTGGAATCAACTCAAAATTGGTGATCACCAGATAGATTGCGATGGAGAACAGGTGGAAATCTGATGATTTTGATTTTGATTTTGATTTGGAGGAAGATGAACAAAGCACGTCAGGGTTTCCGGTGGGAGTGTTAACCTTCGCACCGACTGATGAACTACTGGTTGCATACTTTCTACGCAACAAAATTCTTGGAAAGAAGACTAATCTCATCAACATGTTCATTGTCGAAGCCGATGTCTACGCATCTCACCCAGATGGGTTGCCCTGGGAATACCACCCCCAAGTCACTGACGGGCATCGCTATTACTTCGTCAGGCGCCGTAAAGTTTCTGCAAACTGCAAGGGAAAGAGGCCAAGTCGCACCATTGATTGTGGATGGTGGCGCTCTGACACCGGCGACAAAGAAATTGCAAGACGCGGTGCAGTCGTTGGTTTCAAGAAAACCCTTTCTTTCTTTCTTTACAAGGATCAAGCCAAGAAGCGCAATGAGGCTCAGAAAAGTGGGTGGATTATGCATGAATATCGACTTGCTGGTGGAGACGAATTTCAAGAATGGGCTCTTTGCAAGCTTTATAATAAACCCATCAAAAACAGTAAACCCACCAAAAAGATAAATACTGTGGAGACGATCGGTTCGATGGCTTGTGAGACCGCCGCGATTCAGCTTCAATCAACTTTGCCTGACGTTAACTATTGTCATGAGCTAAAAGAGTATGAATTCTTGGAAGATGCTGAATATACGGAGGAGACGATCAGTCCGATGATTTCTGAGACGGCAACAATTCAGTCCCAATCAATTTTGCCAGAAGTTAACCATTCTCATGGCTTAGAAGAGTATGCATTATTGGAAGATGCTGAATATATGGAGGAGATGGGTAATTGGTTTTCTGATTTTATGCGCCGCGAGGAATAGATGACAGAATATGATATTCGCGGTTATGGTAATATGCTGCCGTCCCAGTTGTTGTAAAGTCGACAGTTTTCTCTCTCTCTTTTTTTTTTTTTTGCTGTTGAAAGTCCACACTAATTTTTTTTTGTAATTGATTAAAGAGAGATGTCTCGTATTTCTGTCGTCTTCTCTTGGAATTAATTCTTTTTTCTTCTTTTGCTATTTTTTAGATGTATATATATATGTTTATAGAGAAGAAAATATATTTGTATATACATGTATTGGATATGCATAGCATCTTAGACAAAAAGCTCAACAAAAATTTGAAACATCGTTATTAAACATTGCACTTAAAACAGTTGACAATTTACACTGTTGTGTTGAAATTTGCTTCTAAAGCTTGGCTAAAGCATTCTTAGATAATTACCGCAAAGGAGAGACTATTAGAGGAGATATGTTATTTTATAACATTACATGATACGTAATGTAGGCTCCCAGTCCGAGGGATGAAAGAAAAGATGAGGCTGAGGTACTGGAGCTGCTTGTCTACCGTACCCTGTTAACATCTTCTGCATTTGGATTCAGTTGGAGTGAACTGACTTGGTATCCCTCCGAGCAGACAACATCGTACCCTACGTTGGATGACAGTGATAAAGGAAAATGAAAATGACAGTGAATTGGTAGTTTCTCTCTGTTCTTGAATCAAGAAGGTGAATATATATATATATATATATATATATTTACAAAGTCATTACCCGAGTCGATCTAATTTGTTTCAGTGACGTATAGAGCTGCCTTTCTAGTGAATGAAGATCCTTGCTGCTTAAAGGCCCACGATCTTCCCCAAGAAGATTCCTGACGTGAAATTAGATTTCAGGATATAATATCAAAGATTAATTTATCAAACTTTCAAGTTTAGTATATATATATATCATCTTAAAAAAATAGTTTAGCATATGTAATAGAAATTCTCCGTCTAAAAGTTTGGCTTAATTTTGGCAACTCACTTTTGGGATCTTTGTAGGGCTTCATAACGTGCTTTCAGCTTCAACTATTCCTGCTGACTACTTAGATCCTGGGACAAGTAAGAAATATTTAAACCATCAAAACCAAGAAAATGAATCAATATAATTAATTAAAATGGAGAGTCATAGCTATATCACCGAAGTGCAAAACTAGAAGAAAGTGAAACAGAGTTATTCTATAAATCAATGTAACCAGAAGAAAATGAAACAGGGGTAATTATTGTACAGATCAATGTACCCTCGAGTAATTTACCAATGCTGGTCTTTTGGCCTTCACGAGTTGTATAATTAAAAGTTGACGGTACTCACAGTCTTTCAAAATCTTGACACACAACTAAAACTCCCAAGTACAGAGTTCATATACCAGTTTTTTTTTTTGGTACACATTGACATAGCTATCTTCCTTTCTTTACGGGTGGCTTTCTGTCTCAGTTATTTTGGCCAGTTTAATGGGTTGCTTAATCGGAGAGAGCAAAAAAGCAGGAGAGCTTTTGGAAAAAGTAAGAAATTTGAAGGACAGATCTAAGACCCGTGAAGGAGACACTTGAGAACTGTGGGTGGGACGCCATTCAACCCTGTGCTGGAGTTTCAGTGGTAGCAAAACCCACTGCCTATATCTTAACAAAACTGTCAAGGTTGGGAATGCACTTAAACAGAAATGGAGTTTCATACTTGAAGGACAGATCTAAGACCCGTGAAGGAGACACTTGAGAACTGTGGGTGGGACGCCATTCAACCCTGTGCTGGAGTTTCAGTGGTAGCAAAACCCACTGCCTATATCTTAACAAAACTGTCAAGGTTGGGAATGCACTTAAATAGAAATGGAGTTTCATACTTGAAGGACAGATCTAAGACCCGTGAAGGAGACACTTGAGAACTGTGGGTGGGACGCCATTCAACCCTGTGCTGGAGTTTCAGTGGTAGCAAAACCCACTGCCTATATCTTAACAAAACTGTCAAGGTTGGGAACGCAATTAAACAGAAATGGAGTTTCATACTGTGAAATCTCAAATTTCATTTCCTAGACACTTGCTTTAGGCCACATGGGTTGATCTTTTTATTTAGCATACCTCTGTGCTCTTTTGGCCTTTTACAACGAAACCTATAGATTTTTCATTCATTTCTCCATTGACGAGGTGAAACTCTCAAATTGTTTGGGTTCGGGTTTTGTACGAGTAAAAGCCCAATTTTCAGCTTCACGGATTGAGCCATCCCTGCCCCACAACAACCTCGATCTTTCCATCCGGGCAGCCATTTGACCCCAAGTAATCCAATCCAACGGCCGCTACCTTAATAACGGGCAGCTCTGGATTATTCTGGAACTCTCCACGTGGCACCACGCTTCTCTCTCCTCTTCCTCCTAAACCCTCCTCTCCCCTCTTCTTATCTTCTCCTCCTTTCGACACTAAACACAACTCTCGCAAACAAGTTTGTGCTCTCCACGCAATTAGGGTTATTTTCTCTGAACTACCACCCTATCAACCCTCCTCCTCTACCTGTCTGTAGAAATGGCTTCTTCGACGGCGCAAATCCACGTTCTTGGAGGCGTGGGCTTTGCTTCCTCGTCGAAGAGGAGCTGCAGGAACAAGGATGGTTCATTTCCGAGAAATGTCTTCTTTGGAACTAAAACGGCACCATTCCGTTTACCCAATTCGGCTTTCTTGAGACTTCGAAGTAGGAATCCGAGCTCATCGAGGTATGCGGTTGGCCCGGTGAGGGTAGTAAATGAGAAAGTAGTAGGTATCGATTTGGGAACCACGAACTCGGCCGTGGCTGCCATGGAGGGTGGAAAGCCGACCATAGTGACGAACGCAGAGGGTCAAAGAACGACTCCCTCTGTCGTGGCATATACTAAGAACGGGGACCGGTTGGTCGGTCAGATTGCCAAGCGTCAGGCTGTGGTCAACCCGGAGAACACTTTTTTCTCTGTCAAGAGGTTCATCGGGAGGAAGATGTCCGAGGTGGATGAGGAGTCCAAACAGGTGTCCTACAGGGTTGTAAGGGATGAGAACGGAAATGTCAAGCTTGATTGTCCCGCAATTGGGAAACAGTTTGCCGCTGAGGAGATTTCGGCTCAGGTAAATGTTTTGTTTCTTTCCTTCATTTCTTGTTTACTTGCTTCTATGCGATGTTTTATTGGTTGTTCTGAAATGGTAGGTGTGGGACAGAAAATGCAATTTGTTGCCGGCTGGTTGAGCTTTTGGTTCGTTTGGGAGATAGGTTGGTCGAGTTTTGATGTTTGGTCGTTGAGAAAGAGGGGTAGGGCCTAAGATGGCAATAAAATAAAAAACTGAATTAGGATTTCACGTTAACGAGTTTAAAGTCAATCGAGTATTGGGTCATGGGCGTTCAGCTGTTCTGACTGGTCTTTGTTTAATGAGCATGTTGAAGTACAGGTATAAAATTGATTCTGTTGTGCAAGTAGATGGAATGAATCGCATTTTGGAATCTGAATTCCATTGATATTGTGTGATATTTTCACGTTGTAGTCTTCAGTTTGCTGCATGTCTTAGTTATGTTTTGGTTTGGGGTTAGTTCTCTATTTTGTTGGGTTTATTTCATTTGCTAGTTGGTGGTTCCTTCTCTTAATGATGGCACATTATTCTGGAGGAAAATATGTGATATATTGAAATTTTAAACTTAAAGAAGCAGGTAACTTTGGTTGTTAAGATGATTGCTATAGTTTGGCTTGGAAAATCCCCGGTATGTACTGTGGCTTATACTTTATATGGATGTTGCTATTGTTGCTTTCTTGGCTATTGTTTCTATGCACGTATGGGTGGATATTCTATTTTGCAATCAAGTGGGTGCTGTATTGAATTATAATACCTGTGACTGGTTACTGGTTGACAAATAGCAAACGATAATCATTTGTCTTTCTTCTTCTTCTCACTCCAACATAAGTGCCAGTTGATTGGTTGCTGTTATAAGTTTTTACTGTTGGTGACAATTATTTTTGCTTGTTTTGGTATAGGTTTTGAGAAAGCTTGTGGATGATGCTTCTAAGTTTTTGAATGATAAAGTGACTAAAGCTGTCGTCACAGTGCCTGCATACTTCAATGATTCTCAGAGGACGGCAACAAAAGATGCTGGACGTATTGCTGGCTTAGAAGTTCTTCGTATCATCAATGAACCTACTGCTGCCTCTTTGGCATATGGTTTTGAAAAGAAAAACAATGAGACTATCCTTGTCTTTGATCTTGGTGGTGGGACTTTTGATGTTTCAGGTATGAGGACCTCAGGGTTACTTATGCACATAGAGTACCATGCTCATGTCGCCAATAGTCATGCAATGATTTATTTTACCCTCTATGGTGATTCACAAATTTGGAATGTTGGAGCAACTTCTCATTTTACACGTTTCTCATGTGGCAGTGCTTGAGGTTGGGGATGGAGTGTTCGAAGTGCTCTCTACTTCCGGAGATACTCATCTTGGTGGTGATGACTTCGATAAGGTGAGGAAAAAAACTTCCTGTTTCTACTAATTCGAGATGATTTTGCTCTCGTTATATATATATATTTTTTCTCATTTTATGGCTTAGTGCTAAGTTAGGATTAAATTCTTTTGATGCAGAGAATTGTTGACTGGCTTGCATCAAATTTTAAGAGAGATGAAGGCATAGACCTTTTGAAGGACAAACAAGCTCTTCAACGACTAACAGAGACAGCGGAGAAGGCTAAGATGGAGCTATCATCTTTGACTCAAACAAACATTAGGTATATTTCTTTTTTTTCATGTATTTCTGTGATATTTTTCCATTCTCATGATCACCCTGATGTGGATTTATATCTTTCCAGTTTGCCATTCATTACTGCAACAGCAGATGGCCCTAAACACATTGAGACTACCCTTACAAGAGCCAAGTTTGAGGAATTGTGTTCAGACTTGCTTGACAGGTACCTAGCTATAATTTTGAATTGGCTTAATCCAATTTTATTAATCCTCTCAACTTTTTTTGTTCACTTCTGCGCGGTTTTACTTAACTGCTGGTGTCTTGGTTCCTAAGTTTATTTTCATGTCTGTGTTGTATATTTTGTAGGTGCAAGACTCCTGTTGAAAATGCTTTGAGGGATGCAAAACTATCCTTCAAAGATCTTGATGAGGTGATCCTCGTTGGTGGATCAACGCGCATTCCAGCTGTACAGGAGCTTGTAAAGAAGATGACTGGCAAGGAACCTAATGTCACAGTCAACCCTGATGAAGTTGTTGCCTTGGGGGCTGCAGTTCAGGTGAGTTTTGTCCTTCATACTCCTCAAATCATTGACTACGTAGGCTGTCATCATGAATCCAAAGTATGATGGGTGACTTGTCTCCTTTGATGACAGGCTGGTGTTTTAGCTGGAGATGTCAGTGACATTGTACTCTTGGATGTGACACCTTTATCACTTGGTCTTGAAACTCTTGGTGGTGTCATGACAAAGATTATTCCTAGGAATACTACTTTGCCCACATCAAAATCAGAGGTGTTCTCAACTGCTGCCGATGGTCAGACTAGTGTGGAGATCAATGTCCTTCAAGGTGAAAGAGAATTTGTCAGGGATAACAAGTCTCTTGGCAGCTTCCGTCTAGATGGTATACCACCTGCACCTAGAGGGGTTCCACAAATTGAAGTAAAATTTGATATTGATGCCAATGGTATTCTATCTGTTACTGCCATTGACAAAGGCACAGGGAAAAAGCAGGACATCACCATTACTGGTGCTAGCACCTTGCCTAGTGATGAGGTATGTGTATGGATTAATGATGGTCAATAACCAGGATTCATTTATCTAGCCTTTTATCTGAAAGAGATCAAAGGGCTAATTAGCTGTTCTAGTGTCTGTTGCATATGGGTTGACAGCTGTTTACTAATGCATGTTCTATCCTCCTGGACTTGACTTTCAGGAGAATCTTGTTGATTGAACACCATAACTTTTTCGGTTTATAGCTAGTTCTCATTATCAACGAGATACACTTGTGATTAGAAAGTTGATTAGACACTGTTTGGGTAACATGCAGGTGGACAGAATGGTGAAGGAGGCTGAGAAGTTTGCAAAGGAAGACAAGGAGAAGAGAGATGCTATAGATACAAAGAATCAGGCAGATTCGGTTGTCTACCAGACAGAGAAGCAGCTGAAGGAGCTTGGTGACAAGGTTCCAGGCCCAGTCAAAGAGAAGGTTGAGGCAAAACTTCAAGAGCTCAAGGATACTATTGCCGGTGGGTCAATTCAAGCAATTAAAGATGCTATGACTGCTCTTAACCAAGAAGTTATGCAGCTTGGTCAGTCCCTCTACAACCAACCTGGTGCACCCGGTGCACCTGGTGCCGGCCCAGCACCTGGAGGTGAGGCAAGCTCCTCAGATTCGTCAAGCAAAGGCCCAGATGGTGATGTCATTGATGCAGATTTCACAGACAGCAAATGAGAAAGCAAAGTGACATTGGTGGGATTTTGCATCGTATGGCAGTGTGTATAATAATTCAATATTGCCCGGGGGAATTTTGGATTTTTGATATCAAGGGATAAGCAAATCTTTGAAGTCATTTTTGTTGAGAAGGAATTTGTTAAGAGGGATTATAGAGGAGGGAGGATCTTGTAGTTTCTCATAGTATCTAAGAGAACGATCCTTAACAATCAAGGGAATGGGGTGAGAGTAAATCCTTAAGACTCTGTAAGAAGATTTTACTCAGGTCTCTTTTATGAGCTATGGCAATCACTGATGTTTCAGCTGTTTTTCTTTTTTTTTTTTTTTTTCTTCTTTTAATCAGGAAGAACCTAATTTCGGCATTCTTGACCGTAATAAACTGAAGGGGCGTATCCATTTGACCATTGATTGGCTGTTTTGATGAATAATGCTGTGAAGAGAAACATGAAAAATTACAATTACAGCAAAGCATTGATTATCGTAGGAATTCCTCGATAAAGATCAGCTGGTTGCATCTTTCGAATCCCGATATTCTTAAAAGCGTTGGTTTTGTTTTCATTGGAATATAAGAAAATATTGGAAGAAAAATACATTATACAGTCAGAAACGAAAAATCCGAAAATTCTAAAGATAAACAACATTTATTTTGAAAAGTTACTTTTTTATATTCAGTATTATATATAACTTTTATACATACATAAAACTAAAAAACAATATCTTAGTTAAATTAATTCAAATGGGTAAAATTTAGATACGCATGATACTGATACATCATATGAACAATTATTGTACTGTAAGACAGTATGAGAAGCAACCAAGCTCCTTGTTAGCCGACAGAATTAACACTGGCCCTCCATAAAAACCTGTAAGCGGAGATACTGCAACTTTGTCTGACTTCAAGATCACCTCTTTCCTACGACCGTCTCCATGACTAATGTTCTTCTGCCATAAAAATGTCAAACCTTTGAGCATCCATTTGCTGGTCAGAATCACTACATTCTCAAGGATGAAAATGTCTCGAACAAACTTCAAAATCAACCAGGGAAAAGAGTTTACAACAGACAACAGACAACATTTTAGAAAAGATTGTGAATACAAGGCATCAGATCATAAACATCATATACCATAGGATATCATACAAGTAGTCTAAATCAAATTTATTTATAGAGAAGCACCATGGGATTCATAGTTTATTATTGATATTTTTTCAGACTTATTTCACTTCATATTTACATTGCCTCTTCTAGGTGCTTGTTAATACTATAACTTTTTCTTGCAAAAAAGAAAAAGTTTACAGGTCTCAATTGAAACATAAAAGGTCAGCTTTTTTTTCAAAGCACTGCACTCTACCTAAAAAAAGAGGGCGAAGAAATGCAGACTATCCCTTCCCTTAGTTAACTGAACTAAAAAAATGCCTTCATCCACACAGACATAGACCAGAAAGAAGGAATCATGGTTTGGAATCACAGTTGCCAACGTTTTAAGCTAAAAGCAAGAAATCAATGAACAGAGTGGTTTACCTTAACCAAAGAAGAGTTGCAAAAAGAAACAGTTCAGTACCTAAATCAATTTAGTATGTTCTTTTTTTTTTTTTTTGTAAAGAAAGTCATTTATGTTCTTTCTCTATTTATATGGAAAGGCAAGACAATTATAATCACAATATCTCCGTTTGAAGGCATTTGAACTAATAGTTAGAAACATGCACCTGAAAGTTCAATGAGCAAGGCTTGAGAAAAGCTTCTGCATTTCCTTGTGAGAAGAATTAGATGCATGCATAAGTAGCACCTCTGTTGAGATTGACCAAAATTGCTCCTGTATAAGTTGCCAAGTGTGGACTAAGTCTCACCAGTCACCAATAATAGCAATGCGATTTCCCTCTTCAAGTGCTAGGAGCTGCCCGAGATGCTATATAAATGTCCTTCAATATCGGGAAGAAATCCTTTCTCCATCATTTCTTCTTTAACTATCTGATATGTTATTTGATTTGGGATCAAACCCTTCTCCAGCATCTCATTAAGAAGCCTGTTTGCATCTTCCAACTTGCTTTTCTTACAAAATCCCTTTATCAGCACATTATAAGACACGACATTCATCCGTTTCCCTTCTTTCTTCATCTGTGAACTCACATTTAATGCTGCCCGAAGGTTTCCTTCCCTGCAATAGCCATCCATCAAAGTGTTATATGTCACATGACTTGGCCTTAAACCCAGCTTAAACATTTCATCTAACAGCCCTGCTGCTTTTCTTGCTTCTCCTTTATTACATAATGCACCTATCAATATATTATATGTGATGACATCGGCTCTCAAACCTTCAGCCACCATTCCATCCATAACCTTCCTAGCAGCCTTTATGTCGCCTTCTCTACATAAACCTGCAATTAAGCAATTATAGGTCGAAACAGTAGGAGACAGTCCTTTGTCTCTCATAACTTTCTGCAGAGCAAATGCATCCTCCAGCCTCTTCCCCTTACAATAAGCATTAATCAGTACATTATATGTTGATACAGTAGGAATCATTCCCTGTTTCACACCATAATCAAACATGTCCTTAGCTTCCTTCGTCATATTCTTCTTACAAAACCCATTTATAAGAGAATTGTAAGTAACCACATTCGGCTTTAAACCCAAGGTCACCATCTCATCCAGCAAAGCAACACCCTCAGAGAGCTTCCCGTTGCAACATAAACCATTAATAAGCGAATTGTAAGTTACCAAATTTGGTACCAAACCTTGTCTTTGCATTTCTTCAAACACCTTCACAGCAGCTGACATATTCTCATCTTTACAAAAGCCATCTATCAAAATATTGAATGTAATCTCACTCGGGGAAATTGAGTTTGCCACCATTTCCTTTAGAATTGCATCTGCCTTATACATTCTGCCTATCCCACCCATCTTGCAATACCCAGCAATGAGAATGTTATAGGTAACCACATTGGGAGAGAGACCCCATGCCTTCATGTCCTCCATAACGTCCCTTGCCTTGTTCATCTTCCCAGCTTTACACAAACCATTGATTACAGTATTGAAGCTGATGGAATCAGGTGTAAATCTCCTCCTCATCATCTCCTTATACACATACTCCATATCCACAGTTTGACCTTCATTCCCAACCACTCACCAAGAATTACAAGAAAAAAATAGATAATTTATATCCATAATCAACAGCACGCTTGAACGTCTCAAATCCCAATTGTGTCCTCAAGTTCTTCACATAAGCCAGCACCAACATATCAATAATTATTTCAGAAAACTGACCGTTATACACCGAAATCGCATGGAAAATCGAATAAACTGAATAATCGAAATCTCTCTTAACAAACCCATCAAGAAAAGACCTGATTTTTGGGTAAATTTTAGCTTTTACCAGCGTGTTTAAGATTCTACAAATGACATCCAGCGAAGGAGAGAGATCAAACTGCTTTACGCACCAGTTAAAGTACCTGAGACTGAGCTCCGGGTCTACTCCAAAGGTGAGAAGTTGTTCGAGGAGTGTGCTAGGATTTTCACCATTGAGATGGGCTTTGAGCTTTGACCAATGTTGCTTTGCAATAAGATCGGCAACGACGGATACGCTGCTTTTGTCATGGGATGGTTGTGAGATGGAAGGTTTGTGGGTTGGGTCTGAAGAACACAATGGCCTAATACCTTGTTTGTTTCGCGGGAAAATATTAAGTTCCAGAAGTTTACGGGAAAAAATTCTGGAACTTGGGGCGTGCATATCGGCCAAGCACCGATTGTAAGCAGGGAGGGACAGTAAGATAATCGAATGACTCAGGAAGATTGACGATTTGATTACCTCCCGCTATTCAGATCAGCAAGCAACGATGTTGGCCGCGAAAAGGCAGCCCATGAAGGAGCACCTTATTATTTTTTTACCTTAATTTATTGACAGTAACACAAAACAAAATTTTTAGAATTAAATTCTGAATTTATCCTTTAAGGTGATTATAAATTAATATAAATCAAAATTAACATTATGACTTTAAAAATATACAGAATGTCAAAAAAAAAAAAAACATTTATATTTTGAAGTCATGAACTCATGAATTTTCTTACACACCTGATATATGTATATATATAGAATTTTATGTAAAATTATTTTATATTTCTTTATGACATCAATTTTTTTTTTTAATCAAAATGAATGTATTTCTATAAATAGATTTTCAGTTCCTTTTTAATTTTTATATTTTAATTAATTAACATGTAAAAATTAATTATAACTTATACCTTCAATACCTAATTTAATTAGCTCTATTCAAATATTTAATTTTATAATTATCAGTTTTATTTATATTGTACTTATTAACTTTAAAATTTGGAACAATTTGAACTTTAATTAATATGGTATACGCACTCTTTTTTGTATGTCTTGAAATCAATAGGTTTAGTATTAATTTTTAAAAGAATTAAAGAAAATATTACAAAATATCATAATTCATTTCCACCATGAAAAGTAATTTGCTAAAGAATTTTCGTATACACTTCATTTAAATAGAAATTCACTTTGACTGCTCATTTACCAACCCAGTGTGGGAGTGTCTTCTTTTCTTGTGATCAACCAAAAGCAATTCAAGTTTTATGGGATTTCCATGAAGAATCTTCTTTTCATGTCTCTCAGATAAGACATATCTGTCCCGCCAATACCAGCCATCAAATTGCCACTTTTTAATCTGATTTACAGGGAGAGAAACTCTTGATACAACATACATACACACACACATGTATATGTATGTATGTGTCAACATTATTAGCCCAACCGAGGACCAGTAAGTAAATCACTTTGTTGGAATAAACATGGATTTTTTTTCCCTTGTTTATCATTTCTGGGTAATAAATAAAATGAAAACTTTGTGCAGTGAGATGATTTTAGTTAGTTTATGAACCATTTGGGAAAACAAGTTTTCCTTACATGCCCATCAACATTTTCAACATTTTGTTTTTTACCCTTTGGTAGCTAAATGCTTCAGGGGAAGAGCTCTCCAACCAATGTCCCGCCGATAGAAGCCTCCTGGCCATTTGATTTCCTCTACAGCCTGATACGCTCTATCCCTTGCCTCTCTGAGATCTTTACCCTTGGCAGTCACGCCAAGAACACGTCCCCCCGCAGCAGTGAAGTTGTCATCAGAGTCAAAAACAGTTCCTGCGTGAAATATCTTTACAGAGGGAGCAACAAGTTCTGCTTCTTCAAGGTTCCGAATCACGGTTCCTTTCTCATAGGAACCCGGGTAACCCTTACTTGCCATCACTACTACCATGGCAGACCCTGGAGACCAGTTAAGTGTTACCCCCTCAAGTTCTCCTCTGCAGGCTGCAAGCAAAACTTGTGCCAGATCGGACTCCAAACGTACCATCAGAACCTACCCAACCAGAAAAAAAAAAAAAAAAAAAGAAAACAAACAAGGAAAGGTTGGATAAATAAATTAAAATATCAATATAACAACAGCACAATCTAATTTGCTGATGAAGAAATGCTCTGGAAACTTTTCACAGTAAATACCATGGTGCTGGAAAGCCATACACGTCATAGACCAAATTTGTGTAACACCACATACATTTGACATGCAATAAAGACCGAACAAACACATAGGCAAATACTCATGCCTTTCTTTCTAGTTTAAAATTTTAGATTAATTGTTACTTTAGTCCCATAACTTTATACTATGTTATAGATTAGTTCCACGGCTTTTTCTATTATCAGTTGGTGCACAAACTAACACGTAGATTCAACTCATGCAAAAAAATTAGTCCTTGAACCAGCCAAAGGGTATAGTTTTAGACTCAAATAGGAATTAGCCAAATATTTTAATTAATTTATCTAGTTATCAAGCAAGACGAGAACAGAAACCATCTCCAAGCTAATAATTTTCATCACCTCGTCTAGTTATACTAGTCCCAATATCTTAAAAAAATGAAACAAGAGAACCATTTCCAAGCAAAAATGACACTACAACTAGACATGCATATTTCTTGCGAATGACAACAAATGTGTCCTGTTACCATATGCTTATTTATCCATGTTAAATAAAAGGCTGGTTATGCACTAGAGATCTGTTAACTAACCTGACACTCAGGATCACCAAACCGCACGTTGTACTCAATCAGCTTCGGCAACCCAGATTTTTTCTCAATCATAAGCCCGGCATACAAAACACCAACAAATTTGCACCCTTCTGCTGACATCCCCTTCACTGTCGGAATAATTATAGATTCCATGACCACATTTTTAAGTTCTTCAGTCAAGATTGGTGCTGGAGAATATGCCCCCATCCCGCCGGTATTGGGGCCTGTATCACCATCCCCAACTCGTTTATGGTCTTGAGCAGATTCTAAAGGTATAGTATTCTCCCCATCCACAAGGGCAAAAAAGGATGCTTCTTCCCCTTCAAGATATTCTTCAACAATGACTTGACACCCTGCAGAACCAAAAACTCCCCTGACAAGCATCAAGTCTACTGCTTCAAAAGCCTCTTCCAGTGTCATAGCAACGATAACTCCCTTTCCAGCAGCCAATCCATCTGCCTTGATGACAATAGGAGCCCCTTGATCTTGAATATACTGCTTTGCAGCAGATGGGTCTGTAAAAGCTTTATACTGCACCAACAAACCTAAAGCAATTGTTATACATTGATATAAAGAATGTAACTTCAGCAATACAAACATAACAAAAATGAGAGGAGATTTCTTTTAATCTGGAGAATAAAAGAAATTTTAAAAAAAAACGTAATGAGAGGTTACTCTTTCTTGAAAAGTAATGGGAGGTTACTCTTTCTAAAAGATGATCATCCAACACTAATACAGAGAATAGTTTAATTAGTGTTTCTAACAATATCACCTAAAATTCTTTCTGATTTCCGGTCACAGGTTTAGAAAACTCAGGATAGATGGCAGAGGGGCGTTAGTAGCAAAAAAGTTGTAAAACTAAATAAAAGGAGATGAAAATAATAAATTGTTTAATTAGGATCAGTCACAAAAGAATAAACCTTGGCAGTAGGAATTCCATATTTGTCACACAAATTCTTCATGAACTTTTTGGAGCCTTCCAAAGCAGCTGCCTCAGAAGATGGGCCAAATGTAGGTATACCAGCCTTCACCAGATCATTTGCAAGACCAGAAACAAGAGGAGCCTCTGGTCCCACAATAACCAGTCCAACAGCCCATTGGCGGCAAAAGGAAATGACAGCTGAACTGTCACTTATGTCAAGGTCCGGTATACACGTAGCATTTCCTGAACTGGCAATACCTGCATTACCAGGTGCACAAAATACAGCATCACATGAAGGAGACCGCTCCAGGGCATAGCAAAGTGAATGTTCCCTTCCCCCTCCACCAATGACAAGCACAACTACCCTTTCTTCTGCAGCATAAGGAAAATATTGCTGGGTTAGCGGACGAGGAGACAAACGCTTGAATTTGGCCCCTATTTACATCAATATTAAAACTCATACATTCAACAAATCATATTGCGCTCATATGCATATATAGTTTGATCATCTTTCCTCAGTTTCAACCACTGTAATTCTTTTACACTAATCAGGCAATCGAGTCATACTTTAAAAGTTACTAGTTGATACTCCAGTTTCATTAGCAACGCTCCTTAACTTTCAAAATACATGTATAATATTAGAAAATAAGATAAAAGGTTTTAAACTGAAATTGGGTGGGTTCCGAGATCCTTTCTCTTTATTTTTTCAGAGGTGGAGAACTCAAATTCCATCATATTCAAATTAAAGATTATTGAATGCACTTGAGAGAGCATAAAATATCCACCATTCCTCAGTTGCAAAGATTATTAGCTCCAACTGATCAAATTTATAGATATCAATTCTTTTCTCAGAACAAAAAGTTGTTTTTTTTTTTCAATAAAAGCAAGTAAAAATTTACTATGACAAACTGATAAGATGGAAATTAACATGCAATTTAAAAGCAATAAAACAATTACCAACTCCATTAAAACAGTTAAGTAAAATCAGATAAAAAATTTTCCATGACAAACTGATAAAATGGAAATTAACATGCAACTAAAAAACAATTACCAGGTCCATCAAAAGAGGAAACTAAAATCAGAAAAGGAACTTATTTTTCTTTCGATATCAAAAGAAAAATCAATGAACAAGGAGGAAAAGGAATCAAAATAGCCATACAGAGACACAAATGTAAATAAAACCGTCCAAAGTAAGACAACAATAAGCAGAGAAATGAACAAAATATAACAAAGATTCCCACCACAAGCACCATTACTGCCGTAACCACGGTCAACCGAAATGGAAGGCTCTGATTTCTCCGGCGCACACCGGAGCACACGCAGGGAGCAGCGATGGCCGTTGCTGAGACGACAAAAATCTGGAGAAGTGTTGTTGATGACGAGGGAAAAATTTAGGGAACCCGCAAAGGAAGAGCTCCTTGTGAAAGCAGAGTCGTTTTTGCAAGAAGTTTTTGAGAATAGAAAAGGCTTTGAGTTGCTGTTGTAGTTGGAAAGGTCGAAACAAGGAGAGAGATGGAGGGCTGCTGTGGACATATTCTCCGTTGTCAAAATACCCCTGGGGAATTGAAGATACCTCAGCGCAGGTTAGAGGAAGAAGAAGAAGAAGAAGAAGAAGAAGAAGAGAGGAAGAGGAGGAACATGGCTTTGAGAGTAGGGTTTAAAGTAGTTAATTCCTTCAAAAGAAGCTCCGTTAAAAACGGAAGGATATATATTTTGTTGTTTTTGAATTTGTATTTAATAAAACAATACAAATACAAATACAAATACTATCTGTTTATTTGTTAATGTAAAAATAATTTATAAAATCAAATAATCAAATTGTAATTAAATCCCTAATACAGTAAAATAAATGTAATCTAATTAAAACTGTTAGTTTACTTTTTAACTATTTTCGTACTAGTAATTTTATAATATCTTAATTTTGAATATATATATAATATTAATTAATCTTAGTTGAATATTATCCAACATTTAATAATTATATTTGATATGCAAGTTGGCTGTTTTGGTAACATCATCCTTTCGATATTCTAAAACTCCTCAACAAATTTATAACCCCAATAATAATAATAATAAATTGACATTCTTTTTTTATATATAAGAAAAAAGAAAAAAATGAATATATTAGCAGTAGAGAAATATATATATATATATATATGATTTTAAAGAAGAAAACATAAAAAATAAAAAAGAAGAGAGAAGAGAGATAATGGTGTACCAGAAAGTGGGGAAAAGTCTGGTTGCCATTGTTTCTCTGCTTACTATTTTAATTACATATTCATAAAATCATAACACTCACTTTAAATCTACTAAATAAAATGTTAACCAATTTATTTTACAATCTAAATGTCTATTACAAATACTTATTTTATTTGGAATTTTTCCTCCTCAAACTCCGCTCAAAATTTTAATATACTTTTACACTAATGTATAATCCAAAGCAGGTTAAAGTTATTTACCCTTTTAATTGTAATTCATTGCGTTTATTTTTTTTATTTTCACAATTTTTTTAAAAAAAAATATTTTAATTAGTTAAAAATTTTAAATATTAATTAAAATAAAATATAATTTAAAAATAATATTTAAACATAAGTTCCTCGATAATAATATAAATTAACATCATACTATTAAATATTTGTTAACCAAAATTTAAGTAATTCAAGCATAATTAAAAAAATACAAATGAATTATTATAGGTATAACGAGACTGAGTGTATAATTAGATACATAATTCAGCTTATCCAATTATAGATTCTTTTTTTTTTTTTTTTTTTCTTCCATCCCTGTAAAAATGAATTAGAACGGATTTGCAGGTATCCTGCCCATAAAACTTAAACTTCCATCTAAAAGGGACTTTCGCCTGCTATATTGGTGACCCTACATATCATTTGCTTGGCTAAACATGCACATAGCTTGATAAATACTCTTAAGAGTAGACTTTACTTTAATAATTTATGCATTCTAGTAACTAAATGGTAAAAGAATAAATAAATTGTAAACGTGAGATTTTAATGCAACAGACAAGCAGGATTTACAGGATACAAGATCTCTTATCTGGGAGAGTGAGACAGCAAAAACATGAACTTGTGATATACAAAGCGCAAATCAATTCCTTTACTACTTGGTTGACTCAGTCCAATTCCCATTCAATTAGTTCAATTACATTTTCAAATCCACTGACATGTAATTCTGATCAAAATCATTCTTTATGGTTATCCGCTATATCAGAAGGGAAAGAATCAAGTTTATAAAAATAAAATCAACCTTATAGAAGACACCAGCTCAGGGTAAAAGACATACATTTCCATTTGTATCTTTCTAAAATTCCCACCTATAGGGGAGGCATAATAAATATACATAATAAATTTTATAGTTGTCTTCTTCAGAAAGTAACAGAAGCAGCTTCACCACCAGACGGCAACCTCAAAAGTCTTCAAGTTTTGCAGTTTATCCTAAAAACTTTTCCAATAACCTTTTCTTTCCAAAAACCTCTTGTAGACACAGCATAAAAATATGACAGGCCTAGATTTTTACATTATGGTCGATACAAAACCAAAATGGAATGACACATGGGAGAGTGGTAGTAGATCCTACGTGTGCAAAGCCATGAACAAGTTCTGCTTACGAGCATGCTCTGGAATAAGTCGATTGACAATATCAGGCGGGATACCAGAGAGCTCTGCCAAAAGGAGAAATGATTAAATATCAGGTGGAATGCCAGGGAGCTCTGCTCAAGGTACGAACATAACATGCATACAAATATTTCAACATTGTGCAATTGTGCAGATTGTTTATTCAAGATCACTCCCATTTATGCAATTCTTTTATTGGGTGGCTGGGGTAAAAGAATTTGAGCTAGTGAGGAAAAATCCATTCCATAATTGGAAAGAAGCTACCTTCTTGTTGGTTAAGCTAACAATTTTTTTGTCCGATAACAATTGCTGGTTTCAAACTAAGTTGAAGGTCATACAAGTGGTTAATTTTGATTCCTTCATGCTCTAACAAATTAAGGACTTGGCAACCAGCAACAAAGCAATGTATTAGAACCAGAATCATCTACCTTCCATATTTTCGATGATCATCTTCTACTTTCTCAACCTGGTAATAAATCCACAGCCCAAAGCCCTGGTCCCCAACCCAAAAACAAGATACAGCATTACCCAATATTTTAGGGACTCAAAATGCTTACTTCACTTGACACGTACAATGACTTCGTAGCATTGACCATTGCACCATATTTCAGGAATAAATAATGCAAGAAAAGGATACATTAGTTTGCATCATGCTTTTATCTAGCTGCTACATTTTGGCTTTCCCTTTTTTCCTGTCCTTTTCTCACTTGCATCATTTTTCTCTAATGACCTAGAGCTTCTTTTGTAGTTTATGGAACTAGAACCCCAGATCAAGATCTCATTTTCCTTGTTTAGGTGAAATAATGTAACAGTACCGCTTACAGCTCTTGGTATTTACCAACTGTATTTAATCATTTGAAGGACTATGTCTATCTAAAATATCACTCTAAAGAATAAAAATCAGTCATATGCTCATTTAATTGGAGCGTTAATGTACTAGAAGCATAATCTGATTACCTTGGGGTTTAAAATTAAACAGTGGAGGAAGAGGGCGGCCATTAGGGAGGCGAGTGTTTGGATCTCTTAACTCGTCAAAGAAAGGGTGAATACAAGCCTCCAACTGCAAATAAAAAATTGGATTCCTTCACAAGAAGAACAATCTGAATACCAAAAATATGGGCAGGTAAAAGGTTACTGCAGTTAGCTTACAGCCGTGCATCGCAAATTAGGAGAGTATTGAAAGAACCTACACACAAGGTCCACTGCTTCTGGTGGTAAACGTTTTTGGAAAACCTAGTTAATGGGAATAATGTCAGTACAAACCATGCTCAAATGTCTTGCATAAAGGAAAAGGAAGTTACAAATGCAAATAAAAGAATATAGGTGGCCTAAGTGTGACAATTATTTGTAGATGAGAAAAGAGGAAGAGAGAAAGAATAAAGAATCTTACAGCAATGCTCCAATCAAACACATTTTGCAAAACCAAAAAGGTACAAATGAGGCCCAATGTTACATAGATAATAGAGTCGCTCAAGCCATGCATATAAAGAAAAAACATAAATAATTCCAGGAACAGAATGATTATGAACTGATTTCTAAACTATAAACTACGAGATTAAAAGACAAAAACAAAAAAAAAAAAGATAAGAGAAGAGATACCTTGTGCCATGGGTGAGGCTTTATTTGCGGAAATTTAAATTCAGTATAGTTTGGATTCATACACTTTATCTCCTCCCTGGTTGGTGTTCCTAGAACCTGGAAAAAGTTTTAAAATATATAGAATACAGTTAAAACAAAACTCCATTACAATTTTGTAATAGAACTCATACCTTAAATAACTTGAAAAGGACAATTTCTATTTGCTGAATTGCATGTTTAGACAAGAAAGCTGCAATCTAAGGTCTCGTGGGGCTAATAGACTTAGATGATGTGTAATAGTCAATTAGTACTTCGTCAAGATGACATCTTACCAGGAACACTTGTATAGCAAAGTTCTCATATTAATAGATCACTTTCAAGTAATGAGTAACCTGGGCAGAGTGGTTAGTACATTCTGCTACTATAGTGGATGAGTTTACTATAACAAATTTAGTTCCCCATAACTACATGTGTTTCTTCCATAACCAAGAAAAACAAAGAAAAAAAAAAACCAAGATGATAGATAAAATTACCTTAATGATTTCAACCAGCTGATCAACTCCACTTTCACCAGGAAACAGAGGCTGTACGATAGGTTGGTCTTGGTAAGAATAAATATGAATAGTGACTAACATAGGAAAATGGAAAGAAATAATACATAGAAGCGAGCATCATACAACCTGTCCGAGAAGCAACTCAGCCATCACACAACCTGTGGACCATATATCGATAGCAGTTGTATACTCTGTAGCACCAAATATGAGTTCTGGAGCACGATAATATCTTGAGCAGATGTAAGAAACATTTGGTTCTCCTTTCACCTGACAAAAAAGATATACTAGAGTCAAGGAATCAAAACTGTATGTGATTATACATACAAAGTTGTGGCAAGGAATTTACCAGCACTTTAGCACTCCCAAAATCGCAAAGTTTCAGTTGATGAGTGTGTGGATTTACCTGGACAAGAATTTGACAATCAAATGAAACTTTCCCAAAAAATATGTAACAATATAAATCTGCAGAGAGCATCATCCTTTTCTTTAAGAGGAAAAAGATGTACAAAAAGCATCATCAAGAAATTAACTAAGCCTATAATTTAACAAATCAAGTAAATGTAGATCCCTTTAGCAATAAAAAAACAAATGCATTGAATGTTGATCCTGGCAGGATATACCGAACTATCTAGTCATTTGCATATATCAACATTAAGACTGCTTTTTCATATATTCCTGTTTGTTGCATCTAATTGTAAGAGTGATGTTTTGGATATGCCAAATTTCCTTGCTCATCAAACCAAATGCAAAGATATTGTTTAATGAGAACATGAAAGACAGCAGCAGAGTTTCGCAGCAGAGTCTCATATGTAGTTCTCAATATTTGTGTTAAACAGAAAACTTACTAGTAGGTTCTGAGGCTTAATGTCACGATGACAGATTCCAATGCAATTATGAATGTAAGCAAGTGCCCTGCAGATCTGCACCCAATAACAAAGTGGGAATTAACTTTTGCATCAAGCTCATAGACTAGGAGGAAAGAGTTATTGAGGATAAGATACTTCTTCGTAATGAAGCTTCTGTTTCCTCTGGGTGGAAGTATAGAAGATTAAATCCATGTTATAAATCAGGGAGTTTGAAAAGATAAGCAGCACAATTCTTTAAAATGTTACTTTCTTCAATCATTTCTAAGGCTCATAGCAAAGCACCAAATTCAATATGATACCTTATGCAGGAATGGGAAAGCGGTGAACACATAAGAAATTATCAAGCAAGCAAATTCATCTAATTCCTGAAAACTACAATTGACTCATAGCAAAGCACCGAAGTCAATATGATACCTTATGAAGGATATGAAAGCGGTGAATGCGTAAGAAATTATCAAGCTAGAAAAAAATTCATCTAATTCCCAAAACAGTTTGCATTGGGCCAATTGAATGTGTAGATATCAGGAACATAAGTTATAATATTCTATGAGGCTACTGAAGGTACACCAGAGGCGTCCATAGCCTATAACGGCTACCCAGTGAGTCATCAAACAGTCTGCAGTATGAAGGCCATTTATACTATTCAATCAAGCACTGATCCTAGATTAGTTAATTTCTGTCCTTGCTATTGTACTGCCTCTGGCAGATCTGGTTTCAGAATTTTCATTATTTTCCATTATTTTCTTTTGTCATGTACTGGGGGTGAAATGACTAAAAAAGGAGGGGAATGTGTGCAGAATGGTACGACTAATCATATGAAAAACCTCTAATCAAATTCCTCAATCTTTCAGATATTCTCCCTTCTCCTCTACTTCTGCCTTTCTCTTACTACTTTCTTCCCTATTCTTCTCCCTCTTTTTCCCTCAGCTAAACCCTACTTGCCTCTCGTCAGACTCCTTGACTGAGTACATGTCTAAGGAGCCTGACATATTCAAGGAATTCTTGATGTTCCACTCTGATGAACTTAGTGAGGCCATGGTTCTAACATCCCATGGCAAAGATTCAGAGTCCATTGCCTTATGTATCCTTGCCGGGAAGGTCAAGATTAAGGAATTCAGTAGATACTGGGGGTACTCAATGCCAAGACCACTGGCTGAACTTGGATTGTGGTTGGGGGGTGAGAATTTTTTATTAATATAAATAAATAATGTGAGATGCAGGAGTGGAACCCCGCCTTACAGTAAATCTTAATTGCTACATAAATTCTTCTCTTATTTATTATACTTTTATTATATTGGATTGTATTTTTAAAATTAAACTATAGTATTAGTTATATCTACAATATCTTATTTTATAAATTTACTTCACAATATTAATACTTTTTTAACTATCAATATATAAATACATTTTATCGAGGCATATACTAATATGAATTGTGTATAGCATCAGCCACTGGCCATGACTATGAGAAAGTCAAAGGAGCTTCTGGAAATTGATCATAAACGGGAGTTCAGTATTTTCCACAAAGTTCTAACTGTTTTGAGCCATATGATTTTTTTTGAGAAATTGAACCATATGAATTAAAACTTCAGGACCTAAGAAATTTCATATGACAGATCCATGAGATAAGAAAATTGACTTAAAGCAGAGTTCTCAAGAAAGGGACCAAAAGCAAATATACATGAAATCGAGAAGAGTTGCAACAAACCTGATAAAGTATAGAGTTTTGAACATATATTAAGGGCATCCGCTG